CAGCAATGAGGCTCTCACCGCACTGGTGCTTCTGGCCCACTGCAACTTACCCACGCACTCGTCCGTGTCCACCTCGATGCTGCGCAGGCGTCTCACCTTCCACTTTCGGTGCTGGGCCACAACCTCGGGTGGTTGGTAGTGACAAACTTCTTGTGTCCAACTGTCTCCGGCTCCTCCAGCGACACAGCTGAGCAAGAGGAGTTCGACCAACCAAAGGCGATAGGTTGGGCCCCACCTGAAGCCTGCCGCTTGCGGCAACGAGTCGTGGTGCTATGGCGTGGGTAGCAGAGCGGGCTCAATACGGCCACGCTCCGCTACCATGCGAAGCGAAACGCTTGTTTCACGATTTGGGCCTGAAGTGCGTCAGATGTACACTTCTCGATTTGAGCCTATGCAAGGCTGGCTGACCGATCTAAATGGTCAAACAAATTTTTTTAATATGAAAGTATCATACTAAACATACATTACCGTTTCTGCATCCTTGACGATTTTGTAGTATTCAGGCGTCTGGTCTTTAGGTTGTGTGATTTTACCGTTGCTAATCCATTCCAAGTATTGTTTGCTCTTCTCCTCCCACGAACCTATCGGTCTTCCAATCTGCTTGTTTTCAAGTATTTTCTTCATCCTCTCCTTCTCATCAACATCGTCTTTCTTATTCTCTTCCCTTTTAGGTTCAGTTAGCTTCTCCTCAATGGTCTTCAAAGTCTCCATTATGGTTCTTATGTTCTTAATACATCTGTTCAGTTTGTTGGTCAGTTCCAGCAGTTTATCAGAGTTCTCGTCCATATCACTCATATTTATAGATCTATTTATAAAGTTATTTATTTGCATATATATATATATATATAGTCAAACCCGGACACTAAGCAGTAATTGTTCTGCTTACTGCGTCTGGAAATGGGTGATTTTAACACTAATTGAAAACATGACTATAAGAGCCCCTGGTTAGCAGAAAATAAATCCAGAAAAATGAATGGGAGGACAAAAGGTTGCAGAATCTGCAAAATGGCCTGGTTGTTCTATCTTGTTGTTGTATATACAGTATAATGATGGTGATGCGTGTGTGCGCGCGTGTCTGTTTAATATCTGTTAAAACAAAATATATATAATATAATATGATATATTTCTTTATATGTCTGTCATACTCAAGAGGCACACTATATTCTGTTGCAGTCACGGCCGTGCATGGAAGGAGACAAGTCAAAGAGAAATAGATTTGCACAATGCATGCCGTTGCTGCCAATTTCTTTTTGTTTTGGCCAAATCCCACCTTCAAACAAACCCTAGTAAGCAGAAAGCGTTGACAGATGGACCATACCCCCAGTAGGCATATAAGGCTTGATATCCTCCGTTACTGTGGGTTTGGCTGTGCCCGTTCTGCTTAAGACCAGCCCTGGGACGGTTTCTGCCTACTGAGTGTCCTTGACCATATTTATTTAGATATTTATTTATCAAAATGGTTCCCTTCAAAATCTACCCTTTAAATGGTTTAATTTCACTTATCCACTATACACTTCACGGTCTCAAGTGTTGTCTCGTCCTCCGTTGGTGTAATCTGCTTTCCCCATTTGAAGGTTATATTATGAATGTCTGTTTCAACATTTATGTCTCCGTCCTTGGTCTTGTCAATGGACATACCCTTGTCGCTCTTGCTTAAGTTGAAAGTGAAGGGCACACACCTACACTTACAGTCTCCCTTCCTCGTGATGACGAGTTCGTTTTGAATTTCCAGCATCTTTTTACATACAGGACACTCAAATTTGATGTCGTTGCTTTTCTCTACTATCTCATCTTCCTCTTCAATTGTCTCGGCTTTATTTCAACATCTTTACTTTTCCTTTTCTTTTTCACCATCACTATTGTAAACATAATTAGTCAATATCGTTCGTGCAAAAATATCTAACTATATATGTTTTCTGGGGGACGCTTCGACAGAAGTCTCGTGTGTTTCACGACCTTCAAAAGATGAATTCGCACAGCATAGTCATCATCACGTTCTCAAGACTGCGGGGTTTGTCTTTAAAGGAGATGCAAAGAAACCAAACAAATTTGCGCTGCTTCGCTCCTTTTCTGCTTGCTAGTGGGCATCATTGTCAGCCGCTTTTTGCGGCATGCTCCAAGCCAACAAGGGGCCACAAACAAAGGGCTTGGGTGGGAGGGCCGACTTGAGCGGCAGCATCAAAAGTCAGCACTATTGATCTGCTTGCTAGTGGGCATCATTGTCAGCCGCTTTTTGCGGCGTGCTCCACTATTTGCCAACTCTGCCGGCTCTCTTGTTGGCCAACATAAAGTACCAGGCCCGCGTGGGCACACCACAAGCCATGAAAAAACAGCATCGCTCCAGCACCAACGTGAAGACAGCTGGCAAGGCTTGGATTTTTGAATTCGTTTCGTGAGGCAAGCTAGCTAGGCTGGTGGCCACCGTGATCTCCTGAGGTAGATCTCCATGGAGGTAGATCTCCATTGTTCGAATTGCAGTCCACCTGCCATGACGGCGGAGGAAATCAGGAGATTCAGTCTGGGCCAACAACCAGGTCGCTCCACCAGCCCGAAGGCTGGCCAACTCAAAACGGCGCTGATCGCCCACTGCCTTCGTACGGAGTCCCAACTCTCCCAAAACACAAGTGAAACGCTTTCGAAGTGTTCCAGCTGACATCGGCCAAAGGGGTGCCTCAGGTAGCTCGTCCTTGAACACACATGAAATTAGCTTCACCCGGTCACTCGGGTCCACACGGGCGGACTGATGCTTAGCCCCCCTTCCTCGAGTCTTCGGAAAGCGGATCTTGATCAAAACATGGTCCACTCCAGGAGCAGCATCGGTCGGCAAAACCACGTCCTGCCGGGTTGCAAAAATTAGCTCACCCACTCGCATGATGCCAGACCATGCCATGCCCCATAGTGCTGCTTCCCTCTTCCAGCCCCAGAGCAGTACTCATCATTGCAAGCAAAACACTGGCTTGATGAGAGTGAGGTTCATCCTGCAACCAAGCAAATGCCAAGTCCCAGGCCTTTGTCATCTGCCGCTTTATCAGCGGCCGGGCAGTGCTGACGGCGTTGATCGTCTCCGAATACTTTTGGAAACTTTTTCCAGCAGCATACATCGCACGGCCGTAGCTAACTAAATAATCACAAATTCTGTCTGGGTCTGCAGGCTTTTCAGTGAGGAGAAGGTCCAGGCTCACTGCCATCTCCTCCCAAAGGGCGGCGCGGTTGTCACGAGTCTCCTTCTTCACTGCACGGTCAGCGCTCAGCAGGCTGCGAGCTCTAGCTCGCTCGCTTTCAGCATGCGAGCCAGGTGGAAGAGGTGCCATGTTAACAAGCACACCTACGGCGCCCGCTCCCATGGGTTTGAGGACACCTTCTACTATTCCCCAAAAAGGCTGCACTGCCGACCTGGAAGCGAGAACTAAAATCCAGAGTCCAATGGGGAGAATTGGAAGGGATCCCACGGAGGCGAGCTTCGCCAGGACAAGTCCACTAAAATCCACGCAAGTCCACAGAAAGTCCATGAAATCCAAAAAGGCCTGAAGTCCTGACGAAGGCGGCAAATCAGAGGATAGGGACTGCACTGCCTCACAAGAAAGGAGGACGAGAAGGAGAGACAACCGAGCCCAACCAGAAGCAGGCCGAGATAGTCCACGATTGTGAAGGGCAGCAACTCTCTCCAAATCACACATTCTCGTCAAAGAGAGTGGCACTGGCTCAGGTAGAGAACGATCTCTTGTTGGGCAGTCCGCTGTGTTCACTTGTAGGAGCAAATCCATAGGCCGGGAAAAGTCCTCCCACAACTTGCAATGCTGCAGCTCGTTTCAGCACGGGCTTCAAAGTCCGGGCACTGCTTCTGCCCTTTGCCAAAGCACACTTTGCCACGCGTGGGTCAAGCAAGACAGCCAACCGCCGACCAGGGAAACTTTGAACAGCCTCCTTGCGCAATGAAACAACTGCACCGACTTCCAGCACGTTGATATGACTTGCAGTCTTCCAGCGCCAGCTTCGCACCTCCTCCCACGGAGAAGACAGGAGCAAATCGTTGGCAATCACGCTCTCAAGCCCCTCAACGCAAGGATCACCTCCATGAACCTCAAGAGCAATCAAAGCATCTCGAAATCTGAGGCAAAATGCAAAGCTACTCCAGGCACATAGACAGCCGAGGGCTTGGTGAACTTCCCCTCAATCCTCACGTGAGGATGATCACGGGTACACCTCACATCAACATTGGCTGCGTCAATGTGATTGAAGAGAAGCCTGCACTCCTTCTGGTGGGGCGATCCAAAGTAGCAAGAGGCAACCACTGTTGAACCTGCTTGGCACGCGGCACATCAAACGGCAAGGCTTTCTGACCAAAAATAGGAGCACTTCTGCCTCCAAAGAAGGATGCTCTGCTGCGCCCAACTAAAGGAGGCGGACATAGTGCATGACCGTCCATTTTGCTATGTTGCTGGACCTTTTTGATTGAAAATACTGCACCACATAATTTGCCGTGGGGCAAGTTTGAAGCTGATCCACGACAACTTGAACAGAACAGGCTGAAAGTATCAAAAAGTCCAATTCCCAACGGTGTCCAAGGCATAGGCTTGTTTAGAATGCGGAGTTTGCCAATTCATCTGAAAATCTGTGCAACCGGACACCCAAATGAAGAAGTCATTGAATTGGATGAAGCAAGCGTGGCGTCCCGAAACATAAAACCCTGTCAACACATCCCTCTCATCTGAACCAAACATTATCCCAACAACCTCAAAACATTTAGCGATAAAACAAAACTTCACATTTAGAATTACAACATTGAACAAAAGCGCAACAAGCCTAAACCATCAGCCACCTCATTGAATAACTAGAAACAGAGTGATTTTTAGTACCAAAATTTCCCCAGCACCCCCCACACATAAAACATCAACAGCAAGGAAACACATTGAACATCAACAAAAGATCATAACAAGCAACACACCAACAAATCCTCCCCAGAACCCCCCTTGTACCATTTTTTCCCCCAAGGCTTCAACCTCGTCTCTCTGCTTCTCCTCTCTCTGCAAGGCCTTGGTGACTCAGCCAACACTCCGTGAAACAAGACAGCAACAGGACCCGACCTTGCCGGCGAGGCGAAACGGGCGAGGGATCTTCTTTCCAAGCCCCGCATGCGTCTTCCGGCACCCTGGAGACCGACGCAGGATGGGCGGTGCACCGGTCGGTGGCACCGGTCGGACGCCGTGGACGATCGACGACCACGCGCCTCCTCCAGGCGATCCACGCGCTGATGCTCGGCCCAGAGTTGTTGCTTCAGACCAGCCTGGCGCTGCTTCGGACGACCGGAGCGCTTCAGACTAGCGCTCGGAGCTGTAGGGGATGAATATTTGGAGCCTTGATAAAGGTTTCAGGCGATCACATAGGTCTGGTGCGCTTTTGTGAGTGCACCGTTTTGAAGGAATGGGTGACTCTTCTACATCTTCTGTCTCTTTTCGGCTTTCTTGATTTCAGGGCTGTCACATAGGGCTGGCAAGCTCAGTGACTGGTAGTGGTGTGGCTTGGCTCTCCGCAACAGCCTACCCGGTGTCCAAAACTATTGAACCATCCCCACGCCGCACGTTCACTCGCAGAAGGATGCCACGCGCTAGCCAGGAGTTTCGCCCTCTGGCTCCGCGCTCCGTTCTTGCCATCCAAGGCTTTGAAAGCTGATGCAGACCACAGCAAGTCGCCCCACGATGTTTTTAGGTTCACGATGTTTTCATGCACAGCAGAAGCACCAGATTTAGGTTTGCGGCTCTGTGCATCACCCTGCAATCGGATCAAATCTTGGACAAATAGGTCGGGTGTCCTTCTTCCGAACCCCGACGAAACCTGCCTCATCCTGCTCCAGCGCCATCACCTTCTGAAAGGCCTGACCAAACATCCTCACTCCTCACATGAGCTCTGACCACCATTGTGGTTCCGAAAAAATATCGATCAGGTCCTATGAGCAACCAACTAGCGCATCAAGCACAGGTTGTTTTGAAAGAACCCCGTTGAATTCCTTTTGGCATTATCAAGGCCAAATAAACTAGCCCCCAACCACAAGTGCAACCCACCTGTTTTTTTACATAGCCCTTTTCTTGCACATGGATGTTGATTTAAAGGGACAGTAGTAGGTTTCCAAATGTCTCTACGTTTGCTTAGTAGAATGCTTTGCTTAGCACAAAATGTGTACGTCGATATCTACGCTCTTTATATGCTTTACTCCCACACCAGGGTAGTCTCCCACACAGGATTGCACCTGCATGCCTTTGGAGAGCCGCCGTGCTAGCTCTTTCCGCAAAGCGCTTTTGGCCTAGTTGGATGGTACCGCTGTAGTCAGGGTTGGCTCCCACCACTTGCTACTAATCCAGGAGCTCTGCGTGTGCGTGTGACAGGGAAAAAGATTACATTCCCTATAGATCCACATACCTTCTGAGAGGGTGATTGGAGACTATTTATGTAGGTTTGGAGGGTCCAATTGCCTTCTGAGAAGGTATGTGGATCCATAGGGACTGTCATCGACCATGAACTCTCACGCCCTCACTCACTCACTCACTCACTCAGTCACTCGCTCACTCTCTCTCTCTCGATGGACTGGAGATTCATAGACTACACGTCAGCGAGGATTACCTACCTGAACAAAAAAATCACCGCTTAGAATAAAAAAGCCTCTCAGCTTCGCGTTACTTCGGGTCGGTCACCGCCTTCATGGTGCCATACTCATGGCCGTTCAGATTATCTTCAAGAGGAATGGGAATGAGAAGGTTCCCCTTTTCGGCCCCAGATTCACGGAATGGTCGGCAACCTTTTTACAGTCAAGCAACCCAGATGGGACAGTATCCTCGTAGAAAGATCTCGATGATCCTTACAAGCACTATCCAAATCAACATGATCAATGCTGATTTACTCAACTTCGTCCAGCAGGCTTGTGAAGCGTCCGGTGTTCGTCGTATCCTCGCTTGACCACTTCGTTGGAGTGAGATTCTCCATCTGCTCCTAGCTGAACAAAACAGAACATTCAACGGAACGCATCATCCATGGTCTCTGTCCCAAACCTCTTTCGTCACTCTCTAAGCACCACCCACTCCAAGTCCGGCCGTTGCCTCTGCCTTCTTTGCTTGGCCTCAAGACATGCGCCGTTGCTGTTGATGGAAACAAATCCAATCAAATCCAGGTAACACACGTGAAATGACGAACAACTCCACGCTTTCTTCAGTTTGGTGTGTCTTGGGAGGGCTCCCACTTTCGGCATCCTGCACCTATTTCTGTACATGTACACTTGGGTTTGTACATCCCAGGTGGCAAAGGGTTTTCTCCATCAACAGTAGGAACCACTTGCAGCACCCCACCACTTGCACACGACGATGAAAGCAACCTGCTCCACAAAAATGGACGTGGAAACGCACAAGCCAGCACTGGCCATGAACGTAAAGGAAGTTCTTCCGTTCCATGTTCTTCTCACTCCTTTTGCCTTCGAACAAAACACATTCATTGATTGCAGCTTGCTGGGGGTTCCCTTCCCCTCAGACCTTGATTGTGTATACAGTCTGCAGTATACAGTATACATCCACTGCTCCACACTCAAGCGAACCTCTAAGCTGTTCTTCTGCCGCCAGGTTGGTGCTGGCCTCACGGTCAAAACTGCGAAGCCTTCGTAGCTTGGCATCACCAAACTCTCAATGCTTCCCTCGCTAGCCCGCTTGTTTCCCTCGCTTGTTTTCCCACTTATCTCCCCTCTAGGTGGCTGTCATTCCTTGCCTGCCTCCTCCCTGGGGTGTGTTCAACGCAGTTCCTGGCTTGGTGCCTTATTCCTGCTGCTTTTGCTTGGTAGGCCATGCTGCACCAGGCAAAGGCCACTGCATCAAGGCCGCAGCCCCAGTTGGGTATTGCAAGACGGCTCGCTCCGTTGGTGGCCATGACAGAGCAACGTTCTTGAATCAGGCCCACTTGTTTGCCATGGATGACAATCAGGAGGCATCCCAAACACTGCCCTCCATTAGCAACATTTCTTTCTTCGGCTGGTCCCTTCAAATCAATGCTTTGACAGTGAGCTCCCTTCAGTCTTGCTACGGGATGGGATTTGACTCAGTCACATCCAAAGAATGGAACGCCCTCAGATGTAAGGAAACCACCCTTTGTCACTGGGTGCGTACATGCTGAGTGGTATGATGAGGGTGAGCGCTGATCAATTTTTGAAGACCGGTTGATGTCCAAGCACCAAAGCTACTATCCAGCTGGGTCTGCAGCAGCCTTGACCAAGTGGCCTTTGCCTGGTGCAGCAGGCCTTGGAGAACGCCTTGCTCAACGCAATTGAGGTCATGCGGATGAGCGCTTGAGCTGACACCCAGCCGTTTCGAGCTGAGGCTGCATGACTTTCAAGGGCTTTTGGACTTTTGCTCCAGATGTTCCTTTCGAACAGAGTTAGACATTCCTTATGATGTGTCTGTGCAGGACATAGCCATCTTCTTGTCTCCCCACTTGTCTCCCAACACTGGCAACATCTCTGGCTGTCACCGCATGATGATTCCTTGCTGGTGCCTTCAAGTTGGATTGATTTCAGGGAATGTTCGCTGTTGAAAATTCATTGCAAGGCCCCGACGCCGCAACAGGTTCCAAAGGGAGGGTCATATCTTTGCAAAAGCTGAGAACCCAAACAGCAGAGTTGTTTGGGAACAAAGGCCGAGTAATCTCGATATAGAGCAACCTAAACAGCACATGTCGTTTCAAAGGAACAGAGTGCTCCTGTTAATCCCACAGGGCAATCATGTTGCTTGACTTGACCTTCTTGAAGGTCAATTGGGAAGCACACACCGTTAATCATCATGTGCAACTACACACTCGCGCAAGTTTTCACATGTGGTTTCGGACCCTGGCCCTACCACCCTGAACCACGGAGTGGGCCTCCTTCGGCAGCACCGCCGACTGCGAAGAGAGAAAAAGGTCCCGTCGGTTCAATAGGATGTGTCAATGGCGCAATGGCCCTGGACAGATTCTTCAGATAACCAGGGCCCTAAATCTGAAGCTGTCCAGGGAATGATCTCTGGTGACACCTGTCCTGGGTCGGAGCGATTCATGTTTCGTTTGGAGGGTTGTTTCGAGATCCATGATCCCAGGGCTGCACAACAATCCCAACCATAGTGAACCATCAACGGAGCAAACCATCATTCCAAGAGTTTGTGGAAACAGTTTCAGGTGAAAACCTTTCAGCAGGCCTTTTTTTCCCCGATCTGTCGCAAGATCATCGTTAAACATGGCCATGGTTTCGATTTGGTTCCACCTTTTCCTTTGCCCTCTCTGCCTCTCTCTGCCTCTCAGTTGCAATCTTCGCTAAAGAGTTCCGTGTTTTCGTTTCTTGCAAGCCACATTTACAAGACATTTACCTGGGGGTGTCCTTACAACACCCCCCTGTCGTCGGATGTGATACGCCGTCCCCTTCACCCCCTTCACGCCACCTGAGGAGCACCAATCGCATTCACCCCAAGCCTCGGCTCCGCCATAGGATTGTTTTTTGGCAGAAACTAGACGAGTGGCCCGAGGGCACTGTAGGAGATGACACAAGGTAACGACCATGCTGATGACGACCATGTTGATGATTGTGATATGATGATGCTGATGGTCACAATAGGGCTAAGGCCAAGTAGAAGTGACAGTCTCAAGATATCCAACACTCTTGCCGTTGCATGGAAACTCTTGTGGGACACCTTCGTTGGACATTTTTGTAGACAAACTTGTAGGACACTCATGTGACACTCTTGTGGACACCACTGTGGGGCATTCTTGGGGGGACCCTTATGGGGCACTCTTGTGAGACACTTGTGGGGCACTCTTGTAAGTCATTCTTTATGATGTGAGGACACTGCAGGGCGTTCACCAAGGCAGAAGATTGTTACCACAGCTTCGCACATCTGACACGCACCATCTCGCACAGGGTCGCGTTTAGTAAGCATCGGCCGGGCCACCCCGCCGCCTTAAGAGAAGATTAGGTATCTAACTTGTAGTTGTGTAGGTGGGTCTTGCAGGTGTCCTCACCTGTATCTCAACACCTGTTTCTCAATATCTGTATCTGTATCTATCTAGGTGTGTTATAGCAGCTGCATCACCGGCATCTCTCTGTCTGCACATGTTTGCTGATGATGATGATGATGATGCCCTTCGACCAATTGCTTTGCAGACACCTCTCTCGAAGACCATCATGTCCATGTTTGTTCACGAAGCCAAAAAACACACTCTTCGTGCTCTTACATGGTTTCCTCAATTAGCCTATTTGCCTGGGAGAGGCACATGGGAAGCCATCTCACGTGTCCAAGCTCACGCCAGGGCAGTACAAGCACTTCACCACAAATGGCGATATGAGGCTGGCAAAGTACAGGTGCCAGGGGAGAAAAACCCCTGGTCTTTGGTGGATGTCAATTATTTCTTGACATGACGGGCGCCTTTGATGCAATGCCCAGGGAACACCTGCAAGAGGCCTTTGATCTTCTTGGTCTTCCCCAAGATCTCTCAGCTCTACTGTTGAGCTGGCACACAGAAACCTCCTACATTGTTCAATGGAAAGGGCTTTCTGCAGAACAACCCACTCATAGAGGTGTGAGACAAGGCTGTAGAGGCGCACCCTTCTTTTGGGCATGCTCCATAGCACTGGCACTCGATCGTGTGGCGGCGGAAACCTCTATCAACTGGATGAGGGAATGCTGCACCTTTTATGCCGATGACGGGCATGCCTGCTTCATATTTCATGATTTTGCTGAACTTCACTTCGGGTTGGTTTGTTTTGGGAAGCTGATCACCATTTTGGAACAGCTGGGCATGACCGTGAATATGCACAAGTCAGCCGTTGTTGTCCGCTGGGGTGGTACAAAACACCAACAAGCGCGGAAGCTTTACGTGAAAAGGAAGCTGGAACATCAAGCACTCCGCATTCCGAAAGATGATGGAACTTTTCATGAAATTCCAATCAAAGAGAAGCACGAATATCTTGGTATTCAGATGGGATATTTTAATTTTCAGCGTGACACGATGAAGGCCAGACTTCAAGCAAGCAAACTTCGATTCAAACAAATGCACCGTTGGTTTTCCAAGAACTCTATGCACGCGGCTCAGAAGGTGGCTCTATGGCAAACATGCATTCTTCCCATTGGGATCTATGGACTGGATGCAACCGGAGTTGACAGCACCAGCATTCCAATTTTTTCCAAGGCCATGACCACCATGGTGAGACAAGCAGCAGGAGATCACTCATTTCAGACTCACAAGTCACATCACGCCTTTTTTCTGGAGCACCACCTGCAACACCCGGTTGCTGTGCTGCGGGGGCGGATGGCCTCTCAACTTCACCGACACGAGGCCAGATTTGTTCACCTTCATGAGATGGATGTTCTTCACACCCTGGACTTGGATTCCCTTCGATGCTCGATCAATCTTGTTGACACATGGCTGCAGGAACTCAGCACATCCGAACCGGGCAATTCTCTTCCACTGGCAGAGGCAGGACTGGAATGTTACACCTGCGGGCTTACGTTTCGGCACTACTACACGCTCAAAAGACATGAAACATTCTCGCATGGAATCATTCACACCACTGGTCCTCCACTGGATATTGGTAGAGACTCTATCGATGGCAGACCAACCTGCAGACATTGTGGAGAACATTTCATTAGCTGGCAGAACTTTCGACATCACATTTCATCGTTCGCCTGTAACAACTTTGATCCATCCAAGGCACCTCCGGACCCGGCTGCTGGAATACTATGATGGAGGAGACCTTGAACCACTTGTACAAGATCGTCCGCTGTGCTATTTTCTCTCTCAGCGCTGCATACTTTGTGGATTCTGGTCCTCGAGGCTTCAGCAAATGTCTGCTCACATGGGGAGAGATCATGGGGACATCTATGCACTCATGGGCGACGTCCTTCCCAATGTGGTGAGAGCTCGTACCTCCTCTCCTTGTGAACTCTGTGAACAAGAATTTAGGAGCAGGACACACACGTGTCCAGTGAAGAAGCAGCTGGGCCTTGCTTTGGCCTATAGGAAGCACCGGGAGAAGTTTCCGACGAGTCCTCCTCCAGTGCCACAACCTCCTCAACGGATGGAAGCCCAATTCACATGTGGACTTTGTCCACGGAAGTTTGTGACAGCAGCAGGGCTTCAACAGCATCAGGCCATGGACCACACCCACTCAACGACAACCAGGACCTTTGTTGCTGGCCGAGATCAGGTACCAGGGCAGACTCAATGTGCACATTGTCAATCCAAGTTTCTGAGTGTGGCTGCTCTACGGCACCACATTGATGGAGGCCACTGCTCAGTTCCACCTGTCGATGATCCGCCTCTCCTGTGGCATCATCCGCTGGTTATCTCCGGACTTCATGGCGGGACCTTTGACCACCTCATGGCCTACAAGTCCCTGATTCGAAGACTTGGTTATATCTGTGGACTTTGTGGACATCAGTCAGGGAGCTCAGTTTCATTGCTGAAACACCTGGGGAACCAGCACAATGAGCACTGGCCTCAAGCAACCACCTATGCGGAATGGCTTCAAACGGACAGTGCATTGCGGAATCTGGGGCGCTCATGCCTCAGGCCACCAACGACAGCACATGTCTGCACAGTCTTCACGCAGCTGGCCCTCTTTGTCCATCATGACTTGACCAGGCTACAAGGAGGCAGTGACGATCTTATCATGTCCTATGCTCTTTGGCTTGATCTTCAAGTTCTGAGCCCCACCATCTCACTCTCCTTTCCTGACCTGGACAGCAAACTTGCCACTGGCCTCTTTGCAGAGCTCATTGAGGATGACACTCTTTGCACAGCCCTTAGCACATGGTGTTGTTTGTGCGGGAGGCAAATTGATCCACGTGACATGCTCCAACACCTGTGGCATCAACATGCCAAACACGCCAACAGGGGCAGTCTGTTTTACAAGTACCTCACCATGTATCAAGTGAAGCGACAAACCTGCTCCATATGCAAGCGTCACCCCACCGCAGCTCAGTGCCCGATACTCCTGCAACTGGCCTCCTTGCTTGCCATCCTTCACCATGGACATTTAAACAGGGCAAGTCTCCGAGATGTGGGGTGCACTGAACCAGTGGGTCAAGATGGAGGTCGACGAGAAGAAGCAGAGTGCCAAGAGGCCCCGATCCACCACGTCGAATGGAGGGAAGAGCCAGGGCAAAGGAAAAGGAAGAAAAGGCCAGGTGAAGAACCAGATCATCAATGGCGAGTCCACACCCAACACAAATAACCTGCTGCAGGTTCTGAGCAGGCTAGTGCTAAGGCGCGAAGACACCCTCCAGTGTCTGGCCACGGAGACGGACTTCTTCGTTTTTTTGAGCGCGGGCCCAGGGTCCGTCCTACCTTGCATGATGACTCAGACAACAACATGGCATCAGACACCTCAAAGCGAGAGGACACATCCTTTGAGGATCCTGGTTCTGAAATCACTGCTGGAAGAACTGGTGAAGAGGACACAGAAACTTCAGTCCACGGCCTCCTCAGATCCCTTGATCCAGACATTGCAACGCCTGGGATTCCTGAAGATCGACCTGGAGAACGAGAACACCTACATCTTCCCCAGGATGAAATGGGATCATCAGAAGCAGGCGATGGAAGCCCAAGAGGATGCTCCTCTCACAGTTCAGCAGGCCCTGCACACCCTTGCAAGGATGCTCACTCTCCTGCAACAGGAGGACCTGATCAAACGATTTGGGGCACTTCGTCCGGCCCAACAGATTCAGAAAGTCATGACCACGGACACCGACAAGCCCTCCGCAGTGATTCCATGGCGGGTCACCTTGGCCTTGACCAACACACACTCCACCGAGATGAGGGGGCTATGGCACCAGCTCAGCCACTCCGGGCTTTGGCAACTAATCTTGGGCAGGATGAGACCCGCGACCATGCACAGAACACCTCTGGCTCAACACCTGGGAAAATTGCTTGGGGACCTTTGATCAAGGTTGATCTTGCACCACTGAGGCCACTGACGAATCCGGCATCAGCTTGCTACATGAACTCGGTGGTCACGGGATTGGTGTGGAGTGCTCAATGGGCAGGCGGCTTGAGTGAGGACCACTGGTCCAACTTTCCGAGGGTCTTTGAGACCATTGCAGATGTGTCACCAGAGGGAGAACCACTTCTATTGTGGGCTGATGAGCAATGGACCACCTTTCTTTCCACGTGGCCGGAACCTTTTAGACAACATGATGTCATTGATTTTGCACATCACCTTCTCCAACAGCTGAACCCCAACTTTCTCAGTTGTTGTTGGGAATCCCGGCTGGAACAGGATGGGGAAATCCGTGTGGTGGATCAAAGCGCCCTGGGGTGCCCTTTGCACCTATACATCTGCAGTGAGCAAAAGAATGCACTGCTGCCAACCGACCTGCAAGGATTGATCTCAAACTGGAGCCTGGCGTCCTTTGGTCTCCATGGGTTGACTGAACCTGCAGATGTCACATGCCTTCACATCGATCGCTTCGACTCGAGGGGCAAGAAAAATCGAACCAGACTCAGCTGGGACTCTAAGGTGTGGATGCCTTTCTTCTACAACACCAAGCTTGGCATCGACCACATTCCCTTTGTGGTCACGGCAGTATCCTATCATCTGGGCTCGGAGCCCACATGTGGACACTATTGCACGGCGGTTCTGGAGGGTGGCTTCTGGTGGGTCTTCGACGACGGCCCCAAGCCGGAGAAGTTCGACCGGATCCCAACAGTGGTTCAGGAGAACTGCTGTCTCCTATGGCTCAACTGCATGCCGCATGGGGGTGCAGAACCAGTCTCCAAGCTGACGGAGGAATCACCTATTCTCTCTGAGGAGGAGAAGCTTGAGCACATCATTCATGACCCCTCCATCAATGACGACTGGCACCACAAATGGCTTCAGGCCATTGACGGGCTCGATGCTGACATCCTTGTGGACCACCCGGGTCTATGCCATCGGCTGGTGACGCAAAGCTGGCCTCGTGACATGAATGCACATCTTGAAGTGGCACATCGAGAACTATGGGAAGCATCCCAACCGATGGCCGAGAAGTGTGGAGCTGCCTTCAGCGCGAAAGCTCATCCTACTCGGTGGTGCGCTTGCCAGCCCTACTACACCACTGAGCTGACTGAGGACCACCCGTGTCCATGCCTTCGCCAATTTGGCATTTTGCACATAGCTCTGCGCCGAAGCCAGCCAGCTCAAGCCAGAACAAATCTGGCTCGCTTGCTTGACATGACCTTCAGCTGAAGGCTGGAGCTGGCTGTCCCTACGGGGACCAGGCGGATCAAAAGGATCCACGCCATCATCACTCGATGAGCGTATGGAAAGAAAAAAGATGATGATGATGATGATGATGATGATGATGATGATGATGATGATGA